GTCCCCTGACATCCGTAGAGATGCGCGAGGGCAGGGGGCGAGAGAGAGGGATGGAGGGAAGGTCGAGAGAGGAGAGAGGGCAGGGAGATGGAGGAAGAGGGAAGGGGACTGCAAGAGAAGGGAGGTAGGAGAGAGAATTTGACTTTTAAACAACTTTTATCGCCGCCAGCAGCAACAGCTCTCGAGTCGATTTCGATATGAAATACACAAAGTCACCAGCAACACAAATAAACGCTACAAATCCACGCGATGTGGCGCTAAAAGCACCGCGCACAACACGAAATAAAAGTCACGTGGTTGTGCTGGTCATCGCGCACGCCACGGTGACGAGCGAGCGCTTCATGAGGGTGCCGTCCACGTTGGTACAGAGGGCAAGATATTAGAGAGAGAGGGATGGAGGGAAGGTGGAGAGAGGAGAGAGGACAGGGAGATGGAGGAAGGTGAGTGCAAGAGAAGGGAGATAGGAGAGAGAGAGAGGGGGGGGACTGTGCGAGTGGATGGGAGAACGAGGGGCATGAGATCGGGGGGTGTGAGGGGGGAGAGAGGGGAGCGAGAAGACAGAGCAGGTGGAGAGTGATAGAGCGGGGATGAAGGAGGGTAGAGGGAGCACGGTTACGAGCGGAGAGGAGAGCGAGGGCAAGAGTGAGGGTGTAAGAAAGGGATTGCGAGAGTGCGTGAGAGTGGAAGGTGGGAGAGAGGAATGGAATGCGGAACGGGAGAGTAGGAGACGGTATGGGAGAGAACGCGCGACCGGCCACGGACCTCGTGGCGACAACACCGTCATCACCATTATCAGCATCATCAGCGAACTGCGCTCCGTGCTGGAGAAACACAAACACGGCGGCCGCGCGGTGGGGTGGGGGTTGCCACAGAACAATGGCGCAGCAGGAGTCACCCCGCGGCCAAGCTCAATGTCTCGGCCTCCCAAAACAAACCCCACGGCCCACGCGCCCTCGGGCGCGGCGCGGTGGCGCGCGCGCGCGCGCGCTGTCACCCTCGGTGGACGCAGTGAAAAACGTCCGCCCGCATGCTCCGCAGGTCACCGCGGGGGTCACGGTCCCCTGGAGGGCCCGTGCCGAGTCGGGGTCGAGGGATCCGGGAGGTCCTGGGTGGACGTGGAGTCAGCGAGGGGAGGAGAAGGGGGGGGCGGGAGGCGAGGGGAGGGGAGGCGGAGAGGCAATTAAGGCTGCGGCACAATGGGTGCGCGACCTCGGCGCGCGGAGTTGACCCCTGCGGGGAGACAAAGGATCGCAGAACAACGCGGGCGATGAGGGCGATGATGGCGAAATGCAAAACGCGGGCGCGCGGATTTCTCTTTGCCGAGTCAGCGGGCTGTGAGCGAGCACCTGGTGAACGGCGCAGTTGGCTAGCACTACGTCCGCCCGGCCGCCTTTGTCTCTCCGCTGCCGATGTTTACACAACGCAGCGGCCGCTCCTCGTGTAAGGCTAAATCAACACGCGCACGTATACACACAAACGACAAAGACCCCTGTTTAGCTTTACAGACTGTTGGGGCAAGCGAGCATCAATAAACAGTTGGCATGTTGAACACGTGGCGTTGTAGTCGTCACCACGCCCGACCGCCTTTGTCACTCAAGTGCTGTATTCATAATAAAGGTTGTTGGGTTAGATCGCGTTTATTTATAAATGTGTCGTAACCCTCCACCACCCGACACGGCCAATCAGCAAAAAAAAAGTGTCACGTTGACAAAAGACAAATAATTCACTACTTTAGCCCACCGGTGTGTTGAAGAGTGAATCCACATTTACAGTTTGAGTACGACGTTTCGCTGGTAAATACATCCAGGATCATCGGGCAATTCGTCGTACTCAAACTGTAAATGTGGATTCACTCTTCAACACACCGGTGGGCTAAAGTAGTGAATTATTTGTCTTTTGTCAACGTGACACTTTTTTTGCTGATTGGCCGTGTCGGGTGGTGGAGGGTTACGACACATTTATAAATGAACGCGATCTAACCCAGAAACCTTTATTATGAATAATATTGGTCGCGAAAGCCTACGTGTTCAAGTGCTGTATGTTTAACCTCTTTCGCACCGCACGTAGACGACCGTGCTAATCGGAGTGCTAATGTTTACACATCACACCCGGTATTCATTCAAGGCAGATTCGACCTATACATGCAATGATAGCATACGTAAACACCACGACATGCACACCACGATAGGTGTGTGTATATTTTCCACCTGCCACCACCACTCTAGCCTTCGCTATTATATTCACTATGACCAACACCATCTTCATCTTCAACACGCGCAGGTACACACGTGCGCGTGTTGAAGATGACAACACCATAATTGGAATAAACCGACCGACCACTGCACTTCGCATCACTAGCATGTCTCCGACCAGCACTATCCATGTCACTACCATCAGCTACCACCACTGTCATCACTAAAACCATCACCACCAATGCAATCATCATCAGTGCTGTACTTACCAATATTATGACCATGCCTGCCATCATCATCTTCATCACTGCCACTAAAATCACCATCATAATCAGAAACGTCAACATCAGCATCAACCACGACCAATCAGTGCTGCTGACCCCGCTGACACGTGGTTGGGGCGGACTCTTTTGACGAGACGCTGAGAGTCCAAACCGCTCCCGAGTTCGCCTGCCTTGAGACAACGCCGCTGTGAATGACGGCGTCCCTGAAGGACGTGCCGCTGATGGGATGTGCCAGCAACGCGGGACCCTGCACAGTGCGGGTAGTGGCGGAGCCAGTGGGGGTGGGTGGGTGGCACGTGCCCCCCCCCCGCCCCCCCCCAATGATCCGATCGAAATCTCTCATTTAGATCGGATCATTGGGGTTTATTAGTAATAAATCGGCATTTTGCGACCCCCACTGCCACTGTGTAGCATATTATTACGTGCCAATGAGATGATAGGACAATAGTCTGAGTCCATAATTGGCAATAAGTAACGGCAAAGCAGTTATAAGTGACTCACATAATTGTTCGCAGTTGCGTTTACAGAGTCCACGACTTCCCTGAAGGGAAACACCTTCAGCGAGCGCGGTGCCGATCACACAACGGGGTTCGAATTCGACCCTCGATCGATGGCTGCGCCATCGCCGCACACGCGTTGAATAAAAAGCAAGGGTCAAGTCCTTACAAACAACTCCTTACTTACTAACAACTCCTCTATCATTTTTCATTGCTGGAGGGGTCGCCCCCTCTACCTGAAAATCCTGGCTCCGCCATTGTGTGCGGGCGAGGGTTGTTGTGTGGGAGATGGTGAGGGCGGATTTTGCTCTCCACGAGGACGCGGTGATCCTTTTTGTTTAACACGTAGCGGGCTTTCCGCGACCAATATCATCCATTATAGAGGGGGGGGGGGATTGGGTTTAGATCGTGTAAATATAAATGTGTCGTTCAACCCGCCACCACTCGACACTGCCAATTAGTAAGGTTGTCACGTAAACAGAACGTGCCGATTCGTTACTAGTACAGCACACCGGTGTGTTGGAGAACAAAGCCACAACATTGACAATCTGAGTACGACGTTTCGTTATTCCCCCCTCTTCGCACGTGGATGGCTCGCAAGTGACGTCATCGCATATATCCCTCTGTTTATTGTGGAGGATTTTTCCACAAATCTGGCTGTCCGCATGATGATGCTACTTGTAATTACTGGCGAAGCGTCGTACTCAGATACTCAGATTGTTGTGGATTTGCTTTCCAACACACCGGTGTGCTGTACCAGTAACGAATTAACATGTTCTGTTTATGTGACAAACCTCACCAATTGGCTGTGTCGGGTGGTGGCGGGCTTAACGACACTTTAATATTTACGCGATCTAACCCCAAGAAAACACTTTCGTTTATAGGGTGCTCCTTTTGGTTGGCAAAGAGCGCCGCCTCCTGGCGCTTACAGCTAAGCAACAAAGACAAAGATCCCACGTATAGCCTCAATAGACTGTTGGGGCAAGTGCTGTTAGCGAGCACCTATCGACGCCGTATCGGCACACTAGGGGGTGGGTAACCGGCACCACACCCGGCCGCCTTCGTCTCCCCAATGGCGATGTTTACGCATTGCACCAGGTACTCATTTGAGGCCGAGTGGACCTAACTCAACGCACCACCACCGTCATCATAATCACCGCTACCATCATCACCGCTACCACCATCACTGTCACCGTTATCAGCACGCGTGCCCGGGGTTGAACCCGACGCTGCCCTCGCAGAGCCCGTGGGGCGCGGGGTCGGGTCGCGTGCAACAAAACAACTCGACTGGAACAGTTCGCGCGTTGGCATGGAGAGAGGCGACAAGGGGACACTCTCGCTCAAGCCCGCCACAGATGCCCATTGCCAAAGGTAACCGGTAACGGGGCTAGGGTAACATGGATATGGTAACGGGGCAATGGTAACGCGGCTAGGGTACCGCAGTCATAGCAACGGGGCTATGGTAACAGCGCTAGGGTAACGCAGCCATGGTAACGGGGATAGGGTAACGGGGCTAGGGTAACGGGGCTAGGGTAACGGGGCCAAGCTAAAGGAGCAATGATAACTGGGCTATGGTAACGGGGCTAGGGTTACGTGGCAAGAGTAACGGGGCCAGGATAATGGAACCAGGGTAACTGAGCCAGGGTAACGGGACCAGGGTAACGGGGCCAGGGTAACTGGGCCCGGGTAACGGTGGCCAGGGTAACGGGGCCCGGGTAACGGGGCCCGGGTAACGGGGCCAGGGTAACGGGGCCAGGGTAACGGTGGCCAGGGTAACGGGGCCCGGGTAACTGGGCCAGGGTAACGGTGGCCAGGGTAACGGCACCAGGGTAACGGTGGCCAGGGTAACGGGGCCAGGGTAACGGGGAGGGCGCAGCCCACGTCTCCCCCTGCAGGGCACGATGAGCGTTGCCGCTGCGGGCGATCAGGGATCGGGAACAACGCCGATTCCGACGGGTGCCTCGACTCGCGCGCCGCACTCGCACGCCGGGGAATCGAATCGTAGCCTAGGAATCGAATCCGCTTCTACCGGTGGTGTCGACCGCGCGCGGCTCTCCGAATCGCGGCGTCTCGCGATGCGGGGCCGCTGTCCGTGGTGCTGAACCAGCCGCCGCCGCCGCCGCCGCGGCTGCTCCTGCTGCTGCTGCAACAGCTGATCCTCAAACCCGCTCCTGCTGCTGATTCTGCTGCTGCTGATTCTGCGGCTGATTCTAATTTTGCGGCAGGAACCGAAGCAGCGGGGGACCCTCGAGGCAGACGTCTCCCTCCTGCCTCCCTCGCTCACCGCCCCCCCCCACCCCCCTTGGTGCTAAAGAGCCCGTGGCTCCGTGCGCCCCCGCGTCTCCGACAATGAGGCACCACTGCGCCCAGGCCTGAAGATGGAGGACGACTTCTTTCAGCTCAAGCAGCTGCCGTGAGTCGCGCGCCCCGGGAGCTCCCAGGTTTTGGGGGTCCCAGGTTCAGGGCCGCGGGTTTAGAGGTTGCAGATTTTGGGTTCCCCGGTTTTCGGGGTGCATAGTTTGGGGTCCCGGATTTGGGGTCCCGGATTTGGGGGTCCCAGGTTTGGGTTCCCGGAATTGGGGGTCCCAAATTTGGGGTCCTGGGTTATGGGGTCCCAGATTTGGGGTCGCGGGTTCGAGGTTTGGGGTGCTGGAGTCTGGGGTTAGGGTTGTGGTTAGGGTTGTGGTTAGCGAGCTGGGGCTCTGAGTTCTGAGCCTCTCCAAATCGTGATTACATGCGGCGAGTGCAGGACTGAGAGTGTGAGTCGCTCCCAGAGCCTCGGCTTTCACGGCAACGACGGCTGAGTCGAGGTCAACGAGCTGGGGTCAACGAGAGAGCCGGGGTCAGTGGAGACAGCCGGGGTCAGTGCAGGGAGCCGGGGTCAACGAGAGAGCCGGGGTCAGTAGAGGGAGCCGGGGTCAATGAGAGAGCCGAGGTCAGTGCAGGGAGCCGGAGCCAGTGCAGGGAGCCGGAGCCAGTGCAGGGAGCCGGGGTCAGTGCAGGGAGCCGGGGTCAGTGCAGGGAACCGGGGTCAGTGCAGGGAGCCAGAGCCAGTGCAGGGAGCCGGAGCCAGTGCAGGGAGCCGGGGTCAGTGCAGGGAGCCGGGGTCAGTGGGGAGAGGTCACCGAGGCACGGGTTTTCTGGTCGGACAATGACGGGGCTCGTGTCGCCATTCACTCGTGGCGACGTGAGCTGCACGTGACCACATCGCGCGTGATGGTCAGGTGTGTAGGCAGGTGTGTGGGACAGGTGTGTAGGCAGGCGTGTAGGTAGGTGTGTGGGACAGGTGTGTGGGCAGATGTGTATGCAGGTGTGTAGGCAGGTGGGTAGGCAGGTGTGTAGGTAGGTGTGTAGGCAGGTGTGTAGGTAGGTGTGTGGGACAGGTGTGTGGGCAGATGTGTAGGTAGGTGTGTGGGACAGGTGTGTGGGCAGATGTGTATGCAGGTGTGTAGGCAGGTGTGTAGGCAGGTGTGTAGGCAGGTGTGTAGGTAGGTGTGTAGGCAGGTGTGTAGGTAGGTGTGTAGGTAGGTGTGTAGGCAGGTGTGTAGGTAGGTGTGTGGGACAGGTGTGTGGGCAGATGTGTATGCAGGTGTGTAGGCAGGTGGGTAGGCAGGTGTGTAGGTAGGTGTGTAGGCAGGTGTGTAGGTAGGTGTGTGGGACAGGTGTGTGGGCAGATGTGTATGCAGGTGTGTAGGCAGGTGTGTAGGCAGGTGTATAGGTAGGTGTGTAGGTAGGTGTGTAGGACAGGTGTGTAGGGAGGTGGGTAGGCAGGTGTGTAGGTAGGTGTGTAGGTAGGTGTGTAGGCAGGTGTATAGGTAGGTATGTAGGCAGGTGTGTTGGCAGGTGTGTAGGTAGGTGTGTGGGACAGGTGTGTAGGCAGGTGTGTAGGCAGGTGTGTAGGCAGGTGTGTGGGCAGGTGTGTAGGCAGGTGTGTTGGCAGGTGTGTAGGTAGGTGTGTAGGACAGGTGTGTAGGCAGGTGTGTAGGCAGGTGTGTGGGCAGGTGTGTGGGCAGGTGTGTGGGACAGGTGTGTGGGCGGGTGTGTAGGTAGGTGTGTAGGCAGGTGTGTGGGACAGGTGTGTAGGCAGGTGTGTAGGCAGGTGTGTTGGCAGGTGTGTGGGACAGGTGTGTGGGACAGGTGTGTAGGTAGGTGTGTGGACATGTGTGTGGACAGGTGTGTAGGCAGGTGTGTGGGACAGGTGTGTAGGCAGGTGTGTAGGTAGGTGTGTAGGTAGGTGTGTAGGTAGGTGTGTAGGTAGGTGTGTGGACATGTGTGTGGACAGGTGTGTAGGCAGGTGTGTGGGACAGGTGGGTAGGCAGGTGTGTAGGTAGGTGTGTAGGTAGGTGTGTAGGCAGGTGTATGGACAGGTGTGTGGGACAGGTGTGTGACACGAATGGGGAACGGTGGTGCCGTGGTTGGCGTGCTGCGCTACAAACCTGGTGACCCGAGTTCGATTGGCGCTCAGGGCCAACGCCAGCTATGATTATCTGAAACAGTCCTGGAACTCCCCTAGGTCGACTAAGCCTCAACCAAGTACCTGGTGCGATGTGTAAACATCACCACGAGGGAGACAGAGAAAGCCAGGCATGGTGCTAGTTGCACCTATGAAGGCCATGCCGGCCTTCATCGGTGCTACTCGCTAACAGCACTTGCCCTGACAGTCTGCTAGGGCAATACGGGGAGAGAGTTTAATTTGTCTTCTACTCGATGTGCATGTTTGCAGGGTGGTGAAGTTCCGGCGCACGGGGGAGAGCGAATTCTCGATCGAGGACGAGGTGGAGATCGAGGGCTTGGGAGATGGACTCGAACCCGTGGAGCTAGGGGCCGGGGCCAGCGTGCCCAAGGAGTTTGCCAATCCCACCGATGGTACCCTCACCAGCTCACTCACCAGCTCACTCACCAGCTTACTCAGCAGCTAACTCGCCATCTCACTCACCAGCTCACTCACCAGCTCACTCACCATCTCACTCACCAGCTCACTCACCAGCTCACTCACCATCTCACTCACCTTCTCACTCACCAGCTCACTCACCAGCTAACTCACCAGCTCACTTACCATCTCACTCACCAGCTCACTCACCAGCTCACTCACCAGCTCACTCACCAGCTCACAGCTCACTCACCTTCTCACTCAGCAGCTAACTCACCAGCTCACTCACCATCTCACTCACCAGCTCACTCACCAGCTCACTCACCATCTCACTCACCAGCTCACTCACCAGCTCACAGCTAACTCACCAGCTCACTCAGCAGCTAACTCACCAGCTAACTCACCATCTCACTCACCAGCTCACTTACCAGTTCACTCACCATCTCACTCACCATCTCACTCACCAGCTCATGCACCATCTCACTCACCAGCTCACTCACCATCTCACTCACCAGCTCACTCACCAGCTCACTCACCAGCTTACTCAGCAGCTAACTCGCCATCTCACTCACCAGCTCACTCACCAGCTCACTCACCATCTCACTCACCAGCTCACTCACCAGCTCACTCACCATCTCACTCACCTTCTCACTCACCAGCTCACTCACCAGCTAACTCACCATCTCACTCACCAGCTCACTTACCAGTTCACTCACCATCTCACTCACCATCTCACTCACCAGCTCATGCACCATCTCACTCACCAGCTCACTCACCATCTCACTCACCAGCTCACTCATCAGCTCACTCACCATCTTACTCATCATCTCACTCAGCAGCTAACTCACCATCTCACTCAGCAGCTAACTCACCATCTCACTCACCAGCTCACTCACCATCTCACTCACCAGCTCACTCACCATCTCACTCACATTCTCATTCACCATCTTACTCATCATCTCACTCAGCAGCTAACTCACCATCTCACTCACCAGCTCACTCACCATCTCACTCACCAGCTCACTCACCAGCTCACTCACCAGCTAACTCACCATCTCACTCACCATATTACTCATCATCTCACTCAGCAGCTAACTCACCAGCTCACTCACCATCTCACTCACCAGCTCACTCACCAGCTCACTCACCAGCTAACTCACCATCTCACTCACCAGCTCACTCACCAGCTCACTCACAAGCTCACTCACCATCTCACTCACCATCTCACTCACCAGCTCACTCACCAGCTCACAGCTCACTCACCTTCTCACTCAGCAGCTAACTCACCAGCTCACTCACCATCTCACTCACCAGCTCACTCACCATCTCACTCACCAACTCACTCACCAGCTCACAGCTAACTCACCAGCTCACTCAGCAGCTAACTCACCAGCTCACTCACCATCTCACTCACCAGCTCACTCACCATCACACTCACCAGCTCACTCACCAGCTAACTCACCAGCTCACTCACCATCTCACTCACCAGCTCACTCACCAGCTCACTCACCAGCTCATTCAGTAGCTAACTCACCAGCTCACTCACCAGCTCACTCATCATCTCACTCAGCAGCTAACTCACCAGCTCACTCACCAGCTCACTCACCATTTCACTCACCAGCTCACTCACCGTATCACTCACCAGCTCACTCACCATCTCAATCACCATCTCACTCACCATCTCACTCAGCAGCTCACTCACCATCTCACTCAGCAGCTAACTCACCATCTTACTCACCAGCTCACTCACCATCTCACTCACCAGCTCACTCACCATCTCACTTACCAGCTCACTCACCATCTCACTCAGCAGCTAACTCACCATCTCACTCACCAGCTCACTCACCATCTCACTCACCAGCTCACTCACTAGCTCACTCAGCAGCTAACTCACCATCTCACTCACCAGCTCACTCACCAGCTCACTCCCCATCTCACTCACCAGCTCACTCACCAGCTCACTCAGCAGCTAACTCACCATCTCACTCACCAGCTCACTCACCATCTCACTCAGCAGTTAACTCACCATCTCACTCACCAGCTCACTCACCATCTCACTCAGCAGCTAACTCACCATCTCACTCACCAGCTAACTCACCAGCTCACTCACCATCTAACTCACGAACTCACTCACCATCTCACTCATCAGCTCACTCACCAGCTCACTCACCAGCTCACAGCTAACTCACCAGCTCATTCAGCAGCTAACTCACCATCTCACTCACCAGCTCACTCACCATCTCACTCAGCAGCTAACTCACCATCTCCCTCACCAACTCACTCACCAGCTCACTCACCATCTCATTCAGCAGCTAACTCACCATCTCACTCACCAGCTCACTCACCAGCTCACTCACCATATCACTCAGCAGCTAACTCACCATCTCACTCACCAGCTCACTCACCATCTCACTCACCAGCTCACTCACCAGCTCACTCACCATCTCATGCAGCAGCTAACTCACCATCTCACTTACCATCTCACTCACCATCTAACTCACCAGCTCACACCATCTCACTCACCATCTCACTCAGCAGCTAACTCGCCAGCTCACTCATCAGCTCACTCACCATTTCACTCACCAGCTCACTCACCAGCTCACTCACCATATCACTCACCAGCTCACTCACCATCTCACTCACCAGCTCACTCACCAGCTCACTCACCAGCTCACTCGGCAGCTAACTCACCAGCTAACTCACCAGCTCACTCACCATCTCACTCAGCAGCTCACTCATCATCTCACTCAGCAGCTAACTCACCATCTCACTCACCAGCTCACTCACCAGCTCACTCAGCAGCTAACTCACCAGCTCACTCACCATCTCACTCACCAGCTCACTCACCATCTCACTCAGCAGCTAACTCACCATCTCACTCACCAGCTCACTCACCATCTCACTCACCAGCTCACTCACCAGCTCACTCAGCAGCTAACTCACCATCTCACTCACCAGCTCACTCACCAGCTCACTCACCATCTTACTTAGCAGCTAACTCACCATCTCACTCACCAGCTCACTCACCATCTCACTCACCAGCTCACTCACCAGCTCACTCAGCAGCTAACTCACCATCTCACTCACCAGCTCACTCACCAGCTCACTCAGCAGCTAACTCACCAGCTCACTCACCATCTCACTCAGCAGCTAACTCACCATCTCACTCACCAGCTCACTCACCATCTCACTCAGCAGCTAACTCACCATCTCACTCAGCAGCTAACTCACCATCTCCCTCACCAACTCATTCACCAGCTCACTCACCATCTCACTCAGCAGCTAACTCACCATCTCACTCACCAGCTCACTCACCATCTCACTCAGCAGCTAACTCACCATCTCACTCATCATCTCACTCACCAGCTCACTCACCAGCTCACTCACCATCTCATGCAGCAGCTAACTCACCAGCTCACTTACCATCTCACTTACCAGCTAACTCACCAACTCACTCACCATCTCACTCACCCTCTCACACACAAGCTCACTCACCATCTCACTCTCCAGCTTACTCACCATCTCACTCACCACCTCACTCACCATCTCACTCACCAGCTCACTCACCATCTCACTCACCAGCTAACTCACCAGCTCACTCACCATCTCACTCACCATCTCACTCACCATCTCACTCACCAGCTTGCTCAACAGCCCATGCACGAACTCACTTCGCCAGCTCACTCGCGAGTTTACTACCTCGGCAGTTTACAAACTCAGAATCTTGATTTATCCTGGAGACATCCGATGAGCTATGAAGCTCTTTTTCACAGATATCCACTGAGGGGTGGGTCAGGACCACAACAATACAAACAACGAGTGGAGTGAAATTTATAGGAAACGTAATCAAATCACTAAACACGAATACGTAAAATAGATACAGCATATAGTGCAATATCACCATATTACTCATCATCTCACTCAGCAGCTAACTCACCAGCTCACTCACCATCTCACTCACCAGCTCACTCACCAGCTCACTCACCAGCTAACTCACCATCTCACTCACCAGCTCACTCACCAGCTCACTCACAAGCTCACTCACCATCTCACTCACCATCTCACTCACCAGCTCACTCACCAGCTCACAGCTCACTCACCTTCTCACTCAGCAGCTAACTCACCAGCTCACTCACCATCTCACTCACCAGCTCACTCACCATCTCACTCACCAACTCACTCACCAGCTCACAGCTAACTCACCAGCTCACTCAGCAGCTAACTCACCAGCTCACTCACCATCTCACTCACCAGCTCACTCACCATCTCACTCACCAGCTCACTCACCAGCTAACTCACCAGCTCACTCACCATCTCACTCACCAGCTCACTCACCAGCTCACTCACCAGCTCATTCAGTAGCTAACTCACCAGCTCACTCACCAGCTCACTCATCATCTCACTCAGCAGCTAACTCACCAGCTCACTCACCAGCTCACTCACCATTTCACTCACCAGCTCACTCACCGTATCACTCACCAGCTCACTCACCATCTCAATCACCATCTCACTCACCATCTCACTCAGCAGCTCACTCACCATCTCACTCAGCAGCTAACTCACCATCTTACTCACCAGCTCACTCACCATCTCACTCACCAGCTCACTCACCATCTCACTTACCAGCTCACTCACCATCTCACTCAGCAGCTAACTCACCATCTCACTCACCAGCTCACTCACCATCTCACTCACCAGCTCACTCACTAGCTCACTCAGCAGCTAACTCACCATCTCACTCACCAGCTCACTCACCAGCTCACTCCCCATCTCACTCACCAGCTCACTCACCAGCTCACTCAGCAGCTAACTCACCATCTCACTCACCAGCTCACTCACCATCTCACTCAGCAGTTAACTCACCATCTCACTCACCAGCTCACTCACCATCTCACTCAGCAGCTAACTCACCATCTCACTCACCAGCTAACTCACCAGCTCACTCACCATCTAACTCACGAACTCACTCACCATCTCACTCATCAGCTCACTCACC